TTCGCGAATGAAATGTGTTTGCCATTACTGTATTTTTGATTAATACTTTACCTATTTCAACTTGCTGATAAGGAAACCTTACATTCGACGTTTAGGGCTTGATGTGATGTCTACTACTATAGCTATCTCACTTTTCATGTTACTTTAGATCTAGCATATATAATATATATTGTAACGAGACGCAAAGGATCTAAAAAGATGCCACGAGCTGAACCTTCAGCCGGGGGCCGCGGATAGGTCCGCCCGACGTGATGGCCCACGTGAGATACGGCGCGCCGGCGCGCGTGCTTGACCGCCGTTGCGCCCGCGGCCCTGCCGCCCGCGGGCGGCGGCCGGGTCGGCCGTCCCGCGCCGCCCCCGGCGCGGGTGCGCGCGGCCGCCCGGCGGGGCGCGGAGTATCCGCGCGCCCCGCGCGGGCGGCGCCTGCGGTGCGGCGGTGATAGCGGTCGCGCGCGCGCAGCGGTGGTATGCGGTGCCGACGGTGAGATATACCGCGACGCGCGGGCGCTCTGCGGTGCGGCGGTGAGTGAAGCGGTCCGGCGCGGCGCGCGCGGCGCGCTGGTGATATGCGCGCGCGTATGCGCCCGAGGCGCAAATGTTGTTTCACTTGAGTGCTGGACGCACAGCCACTCGAGCGCACCTCCATCACTCGACTTCCTCGAACAACAATGATAAAATGAATACCACTAATCCGCTAACGCGCTACGTAACCGAACCTCAAAACTAACTATAATTCCAACCATATATTATACGAACCATATATTAGAAAACACTATCTATGGTGGGTCCGGAACTCGAGTGGGAAAAAAAATTTGCGCCCGGGGCGCGGCGGTGATATGCACCGAGCGCGCGCGCGCCTGCGTGAGGTGCGCGGTTGCGGCGTGATACACGCGCGCGGTGCGAGTGTGTAATATCGACAGATGATATTTAGTGTAGCAATTGTATACGTATACATTAGTTTAGTGAGTGATATTTGGCGGAGGGATATGTGAACGTAGGACGAGCGAGCGCGTTGTGAGAGAGTAAGCCAGGAACGAAAGAGCGTGTCAACGGAGAGGGCGGAGTGGTCAATCGGAAGAATCACGTGTGTATGACGCAGGTAAAACAGAGAAGCGATTGGTGAGCTTCGAGAAAGGAATGCGATCTGGAAGACATTATTGTATCCGTCACGACGTCACGTGATGATGTAAAATATAAGCGACTGTGACTGTCGGAGTTGCCAGTTGCCAGTTACTGTCGGAGAATGCGAGTTAGCAGTCGGAGTCGAACAAGAGTGTAGACGCCAGCGGTTAAAGACAGTAGAGTAGGAGGATGAGAGACACGAGAGAGAGAGAGAGAGAGAGAGAGAGAGAGAGAGAGAGAGAGAGAGAGAGAGAGAGAGAGAGAGAGAGAGAGAGAGAGAGAGAGAGAGAGAGAGAGAGAGGGTGAGTAACGGTGGCGCCGCGCTTATTGTACGTGTATCCGAGCATTGGTTCGCTGCCTGTGTGTGAATTGGAAAATTGGTGCGTCTGGGTGTCAACCCGTAATAAACAGCCGGGCTTGTCCCGTCATATTATCACTCAACTTCTATCTTCGGCATCTTTCTCAACTTCACGTCTTGCAAGCTTTT